ACTCAATAACTGGTATGATATAATTAATTTCTATACGAAATGAAAGAAATATGGGAATATAATGAACCATTGGTAGAGAGAAGCATCATAATGATGAAGATAACAGCAACCGGGGCGTTCACAGAGGGCTTCATTTTTTAATTTTTGTGCTTAATTAGCTATGTGAAGGAGATCGAAAGAGAGCAATATATAACATACGACTCCTAACTTAAATTAAGTCTATGGTATGAAACTTGTGCCTAGACGAACGACACTATTTATAGGCAAATTGGTGAATATTATATTGAATTTATTTAATTCCACCAAGTTTATTAATTGAATATACCGTATAATAAAATAAAATGTGTCAGATCAGCTGCTATGTGTTTCACGTAGCTTTGAATATATTTATGGCACCGGACATTTGGAGTTTCCTTAGCCTTACAAGTGTAAATACACCTCAAATTGGATAATTATGTGGCATTTTTATTTTGCTTTCACCGCTTCATTCTTTCTCGAATGATCCACCTTCATTTATCTATATATAGCAATTTTTATAGCAAAGATGACGAAGGCCATGTGGCAGTATATTGAACTTAATATTAGTGGAATTATTATTTCTATCCCAACTAAAAAATGAAAGTTTTTGCTTTTATTGATTCTTAAGATAATTTTTCACTCGAGAATAAACACAAATTTTACTTTCTACCGCGTAAAATGTCGAAGACATAGCACAAAAATTAAGGATTTATTCAAAGTTCTAATCACATCAAACATTAAATTAAAACTCTTCAAACTTATCTAATTGAATGAATACGGAGTGTACTTCATAGAACGAATAAAAGAAGATTTTAATAGAATATTCATATATAATAAATCTACAAACTTATCTATCTATACAAACTTATATCTATTATATATAGAATAAAGATAAAATGAGAACGATATTTAACGTGAGAACGTGAGAATACCACAATTGTCTCGACGTGTTGCACAATGAAGTTTGTATATTGCACTTTTTCGCACTTTCACAGTATATACCAAAATATCACCGTGTTTATTTAATATAGGCTTAATTCGAGCAAAATGAAAATGTGCAACAGAAGAGCTCCATTGTGAATCACATTGATTTAAATGTGAGTGTTCTCACGTTCTCACGTTAAGCATCGTTCTCATTGGAACCGCACTCTAACGTGAAAACGTGAGAACACTCACATTTAAATCAATGTAATGCACAATGGAGCTCTTCTGTTGCACATTTTCATTTATTATAGATTATATATATAATCTATAATAAGCACGAATAAGAACCAAGCATTCCAGCCTAGCTGGTTGTGAGGTTACAGTGCCTAGTGGGATGTCTCGAGTTCGAATCCCGCTGGACACACAAGGGTTGGAAACTCAATGGAGTGAGTTTCAGCCTTGATTACTCCAGGCTCCCCCCCCCCCCCCCGACCCCCCCCTGGAGTAAAAAAAAGCACGAATAAGAGTTAGGCCAATTTGGGTATGGAAAAAATGTTCGTGTAATGCTCATGCTTTAGGATGATGTACTAGCCGCTTAAATTATTGTATTATCCTACGGGTGCAAACGAGCCGAGTCGAGCCCGAGTTTATGTAGGCTCGAGCTCGAAATATATTGTATTGGCTCGAGCTCGAGCTCGGCTTAAACGAGCTTAAAAAATCCGGGCTCGATGAGGCTCGGTTCGGCACGGTTCGGCTCGATAATTTTGATTCGTTCAAAAGTTACAAGTTCGATTAGCTCGAAAGTTCGGGTTAGATCTTGAGCTTAAGTATGAAACAATATTTAAATATTTGTGCTTAACATTTGCAAATTGCAATTCACATGCCCAACAACTAAAACTTACGGGAAAATAAACAAAATATAATCCTAACTTCAAGTCTCCACCCAGTTGTACTTCTAATATAAATCAAAAGTGGTCAAACCATGAAGAAATAATGGATCAAACTTTGATTATTTTTGTTAAATTACTTTGTAATTAATAATATATCCCTCGTCCTCACTCCTCATATACATTTATGAATCGGTATTTTTTTATTATTTATTATAATTTATGAATCGGTAATATATATATATATATATATATATATATATTACATATATCTATATTATATATTATATATTATTTATACTAATATATAAATACAAATATACACACATATAAAACTAGGCTCGCGAGCTAACGAGCCTAAAATTAGTAGGCTCGTTTATGGCTCGACTGCTTAACGAGCCGGCACGAGCTCGGCTCGAGCTCGAGTTTGACCGATCTCGATCCGAGCTTTGACCAAGCGGCTCACGAGCGGCCTGGCTCATTTGCACCCCTATATAATCCTTCTATAGTTTAATTATCTCGGTCAAACAAGCGTCTCCATCCTGCCGTTAGTACAACCTCACCCATTTAATTCACTTTTACCTCTCTCTTCCCCATTCACCCCACTAAAGAAATCGCCCTTCTAAGAATGTTTTTACTTGGACCGTAATTTGTCCCAGACCATACTAGATCAGACTAGACTTGGATAGTTATAAAAATACAAAGAAATCAGACCAAACTAGACCAGTTCAATCCTGACCAGACCCGCAAATTACCGTCCAAGTAAAAACATCCTAATTCCTCAAGAAATCGATAGCAGGTTTCCTTTTCTCTGCGTGCAAAAATTTCAGAAAGGTATTTCATTCTAGGGATTTACGTACCACCAGGAGTGAAGCTCAAAGAGATGGGGATGCTTCGATCTCCCCTTTTCTTTGTCGAGACAATACCGGTCTAAAAAATTGCTTTTCGTTTTTTTACACTTTTTATTCAAAACTGTCCCAATATATTTTGTTTGATTTATGACTAACTACGCGTACTAATTGTTTTGGTTTATGAAGCCTTTGATTTTGAAGAGGAGGCGGGATTTCAATCGGCTGTTATGTGTGATAAGTAAGCTTAGCTTCTTCTATTTATTAATGGGAGCAATGAATTGTGTATTTCATATTGAAAATTGTCCCTTTTATTTTTGCCATTTTTGGTCCCCCAACTATTGTACCTTTAACACTTTTGGTACTCGACTTTTAATTTTTCTAATTTTAGTCCTTCACTATTGTGCTAGTGACATTTTTAGTCCTCAACTTCAAAGTTTCTCACATTTAATCCCTGAGTATTATCAAATTGACACTTTTAGTCTTTCAACTATGATTTTGACACAATAAGTGGAGGACTTAAAATGTCATTATTATAATAGTTGAAGGACCAAAAGTGTCACTTTTATAAAAGTCGGAGGACTAAATATGAAAATTTTCAAAGACGAGTACCAAAAGTGTCTTTGTCACAAAAGTCAAGGACTAAAAGTGAAAAAATCAAAGTCGAGTACCAAAAATGTCAATGACATAATAGTCGGAGGATTAAAAATGGCAAAAACTAAATGGTTATATGTGATTTAACTAAGATTCTACAATGGGTCATTTAACTAAAATTGTCTCCTTCTTGAAGTTGTTTTTTCCTTCAAATGTAATAACTGATATATGTGATATTGCATGGGAAGGGGGGAAATGTTGTTCATCAAATTTGATTCAATTACATTCATTGTAATTTATTTGAGACTTCATGCCAATTTGTTTGCTTATACTTCATAAAGCATATAAACAAATTATCTTGCTTTGGGTAGACAATTAAGAATATTTATTTATCAATACAAAGCCATCCAGTCAATAGCATATAGAGGGAGGAGCTAAAGGCCTCTTCTATTTCAATACTATACATAGAAATTTCAGTTCACTCTCCTCATTTCACTCACTATATGCTGCCATGTCTAGATAGTTGGTATTGCACTAAGAGTCTCAGTGTGCCATGTTATTTATTATATGACGTAAATAATGGGGGGAATAGGCCCAAGTTTAGCTCTTTACAATATGTGTGAGTAGCTATGAATTAAGTTCCCTCATTAAAATGCATAAATATACACATATTGACCTTTAATGTTTGAGTTAAGTTCCTTCATGTTCACTATGCTGATTTATCTCATTCATCTCCCCTTACAAAGCTATATAAGGGACAATGTAGGAGGTTTGACTCAATTAGATTGCATATTTTACATTTGTGATAGAATCAAGTTCTTTTCGGGCTGTTTTCATCCTTAAGCACATATTTATCTGAAACTGTTATTAAGACAAATTTATGTTTACAGATTAAGCAGAACAATTTGCCATCACCCTTATACTGAGCCTTGGATTCATCTTTTGCTAACTGGCTAGCCATACTGAATAATAGATGTTTCATATTGACCAATTTTTTTACAAAAATTGAGGAATGTGGATGTTTAACTCACAAGCCATCATGTGTTTTAAAATCACCCGATTCATTGGAGGAAAGTTCATAAATTCGAAGGATTAACATATTATAAGGATTCGAATTTCATTGGCATGCCGCTTCCAAGCACGTAGGAAAGGGAGCAATGAGAATAGAGTTTCTTTTGTGTCAACCATGATTCTTTAGTTTCATTGATAAATTTCCCAAGTATACTCACATTTCAGAGAACTTACTTAGTTACTTAACTATTAGACAAAAATAAAATATTACTCCTTCAATAAGAGATTAAGAGTCATTCGAATCAAGCTACCTAGTCAGCCAGTCGGGCTTAAGACTGGGTTGGCTATGAACCAGCTCAATCAAATGCAACTCAATTTTTTTTAATTAATGACCGTTAGGACGAAACCAAGGCTGTCATCCACTTAAATCACAGCCCAATGCCCACCTACTTCATCCGAGTAAGGTCCCAGGCCGGGTTAGGTAGCGGGCCAGACCGGATTAGGTAGCAGGCCAGGCCGGCCCGTCCCAGTCCATTCCTAGCGCTACCAAGTTGAGCATTTATATTAAGAGTACTCTATGTCCCGCAAAATATTTCCTGATTTCCTTTTTCGATCGTCACAAAAAGTAGTACTCATTTCTCTTTTTGGAAAGTTTCATGTGGTTGACATTCATTTAACTTTCTCTTACTCGACTAGAACCATACATTTCTACTTTATTCTGACTTTCTTAAACTCCAATCCAAGTTAATGCAGGAATTATTTTATGGGACAGACTGACAGAGGGAGTATATGATGGTGTCATTTGCATTTCTTTTTTTATATTTTCTTTATAAATCGATAGAAATAAGGATAAGAGTCGAGGGAGTTCAAAAGAAGCAAAGAGATAAATCGGTTTGTGAAAATTCCAAAGATTATTTAATTTAATAGATCGTCAAATCCTTGCACAATGCATCTCGAGCCACTAGGCAACACCCAGGAGGTCTGCAATCCCACCAAGGTTTAATTTGCTTCCCGTTAAAAATAAACTAAAAATTTACAAAAACCGGCAATTAGAAGCAGCCCATACCCATGTCGCTCTGCTGTCTTTTTTGCTGATCGAACCTAGTAACCATAACCTGGGAATAAAAATCATTGGAGTCTTAGTGCTTGTCTTATTTTGGTATATCATGTGGTTTAAGCTGCAAATGATGAAATTGCAAAAGAAATGATGAACTAAAAAAGTGCTAAATATGTTTTTAAGTTGCTGCAAATATGTTCTCTGCTATATCCAGGAGACACAAAATTTAAAACAATTGGAGACTGTTGGGTGTCAAATACTCATTAAGTGATTGTGGTTAATTTTTATCATCTATTAAAATACACAACTACAATGCAAGAAATAAATAAGCAAGAAATAAATATTACAAAACAAGCAGAAATGGGGGTTAAACACATGGGACCAAGGTCAAAGAAGATAACATGCATGCAATTTTGTAAATAAAAGGAGATACCAGAGTTATCCATGGGGTTTGGAGCCAAGGCTGGTTCAGGTTCCTTAATCTCAACCACCACACAATCAGACATCAAAAAAGTCTTTGCCACTGATGAAGCGTGCTCCAAGCAACACCTCACAACCTGAAAAACATTACAACCACATAACCACTTTGCTGTTTTCCTAGTATGCTAAACTCAGTCTAATATACGCACAAAATTTAAATATCATCATGCTAACAAAATTTGTAACCAAAGTTAAAAAGGTGATAACAGTAATCATTTATCTCTTCATCTCTAAAAAAGTCATGTCAAACCTTTTTTTAACCCAAATGATAAGCTATATTTGATTGAAGAATACTACTTTTTCATGTAAATCCTTAAAAGTAGTGTTTTATATAGTTCCTGAGAAAATAAAAAAGTGTATTCATGTTTTCATGATCTATGGCGAACTTGGCAGTTATACTATACTAGAATTTATAATAGACTTGTTCTTAATAAGTTTTTATCACTATTATCATCACCTTTATCACTATTACTATTATCTTTGGGTGGGGCTAGGGTAAAACATGTTAATGTACAACAAATAGAATAGATTACTTTGGTTGGATCAATGGTTCCAGCAGCCATCAAATAATGAGCAATATTTGATTAAAGAAAACTACTTTTTCATGTAATCCTTAAAAGTAGTGTCATGTAGTTCCTAAGAACACAAAAAATGTTGTATTCATGTTTTCATTATCTGTGGCAGTTATACTAATAGCTTTAGGTGGAGCTAGGGTAGAACAAGCTAATGTACAATAAATAGAAAAGATTACTTTGGTTGGATCAATGATTCCAGCAGCCATCAAATCTTCATAGTTGCCCGTTGCAGCATTGTATCCATATTTTGGGTTATCACTTGAAAGAACCTGATTATCAAATATGCCAAAATATGCCCATTGAAACTTAGGCATTATTTTACAGCTAATTATTTAGTTCACAGTACAAATTGCCATTATAAAAGTTTACCTTCTCACTGACAACACTTCCATTAACACCAGCATTTTTTGCAATTAGCTTCAGAGGGTAACTCAAAGCTCTCTTGACAATATCAGCTCCAACCTGTTCTGAGGCCATACTATTTAATAAAGTGGCATCCAAACAGTAACCAATGACCAATTAACTGAGAGAAAAGTAAACCAGGCTTGCCTTCTCCTCATCATTTGCCAGGCTCTCCTTGATGGCATCAACTTTGGCGGATAGTCTCAAAAGAGTACATCCTCCTCCAACAACAATGCCTTCCTCAACAGCAGCCTAAAAAGCCATGACTTACATAATCAGTAACCTGAGAATAAAAAATACACTCCCACTGTTCTTCACCAAGGAAAATAGTTGATGTGGGTTTATTGTTTGTATCTTCCTTTGTAGAAAAGTTTGTATCACAAAATGTTTTGCCAAATTTTCTTATTTGATCGTCCCAAATAGGATTGTCATTTCCTTTTAAAGTAACAAATTTGTGCTTCATATTATTTGTCTCTCATCTATACAAATTTCAACCACACAATTTTAACTTTATTATTCTACGTGCAAGTTAATGTTTGCCAACCTTTATGAGGCAGAGAGAGTATAGAAGCGAAACCAATAAGTTTAACCATCGACATATAAAAACAGAGGGAGCTTTACAAAAAGTAGAAAGTTTGGCAACAAAATTGCTTACCTTTGTAGCATTTAAAGCATCTTCCACTCTAAGCTTCTTTTCTTTTAATTCTGTTTCAGTTTGTGCCCCAACCTTCAGAGTTCAATTCATACAGAAAAAATCATTACTTATCTGAAAGAACTCTAGTATCGCCTATCTGTCAAGTAATTCATGTTCCAGTTACCTGAATGACAGCAACACCCCCTGATAATTTTGCAATTCTTTCATTCAGTTTTTCCTTCTCATAATCTTGCTCTGCAGCCTGCTCAACGAGACATGTGTAGTTAGATTACACTGGTCTATAATTATAAAAAGAAGAAATAATTACATAAATATGATCAAAATAAAGATGGTTTACAAAAATATGACTAGTTACTAGAGTAGTAATGAAATCATAGTAATTCATGTTCAAGTTTTGAACTTGAGTTACCACAACACTACGTTGTAGTAATGAATAGTCATATTTATGTAATTAAATTTTATTTTAGTACTCCCTCAGTCCCAAATTGTATGATACATTTACTATTCACTTGGTCAACATAAATCAATCTTAATCTTTTATTTTATATATCAAAAGTTTATGAAATTTGAATTATTTTTTGCAGGTTTTGTAGCGGTTTTAATGTAGTTTATGAATATGTAAATTTTATTTTCTAGAACTAATTTGAGTGTTGTCAGGGAGCAATTTGCTTTATCATCAGTCAAACATCGTAAACCGTAATGTATCTTACAAATTGGGACGGAGGGAGTAATATTCTTGTAAAAAACCCGAAAGAAAAAATACCAGATGGGTTTATGATAGGTAAACAGAAATTTTGGATTACCAACTCAATAAGTGAAAAGGATTACCTCTATAAGATTTTTAATCTGTGCAACACGTTTATTGACTGCTTCTTGAGTGCTACCATCACCAACAATGGTTGTGGAGTCCTTAGTTAGGACTACCTTAGCAGCAGTACCAAGGACTTCCTTGTCAGCCTTGTCTAATGTAAGGCCAACCTCTTCCCTAATCACAGTTCCTGCAGCAAAAGATAATAATGATAACATGCTTAAGTTAATAGCTATAAGCAATCACCAATTACACACTTATTGCTATGTTTTATTTGAGAAAAACAATATAATAACCATTCCATCTCAAATTCCCTAGGGGAACTTGCATGTTTACTACTCCCTCCCCTTCGTATTTAACTGCTTAAAACATATTCCTTTTTGGAAATTTTTAATTTAATCACTTGCAAGGCTTTCCTATTTTGGTATGTTTACATCTACAAATATATATATACATATATATATATATATCCTATCTTTTCCTACTTTTGTACGTCATCTTTCATACTTTTTCATCTCTTCTTTCCTACTTTTTACACTTCTCCACAATATTCACTACCCCACTATTTCACAGGTAAACTCCGTGAAAACTTTATAGTTGCAAGTAAATAAATACACTATAGTTGTACTTCATTTATAATTAATTCTTAGCCACACTCCAATTTTTAAATGTATGCATAAAAACAAATGGAATGCTAATTTGGGGGCAGCAAGAGTACTGAAAATTAGTTTCTTTTGATCAAATAGGACTCGTTTGCAGGGACAAATGTAGGTTTTCAAAGATGGCTATTTTCTTGGGACATAGAGAGAACAAACAAGCCAAACTCGGATGTGAAACTGATAAGAATCAATATAGTGCCTAGGAGATTCAAAAGAAAGATGTGGTAGAAATACCTCCAGTGAGAATTGCAATATCATCAAGATACTGAGATTTCCGCTCACCAAATCCGGGAGCTTTCAGAGCAGCAACCTTCAATGCACCCCTAAGCTTATTAACCACCAAGGTTGCCAGAGCCTCTTGCTCAATATCTTCAGCAACTATCAAAATTGGATAACCACTTCTGATAGCGTCTTCCAACACATTAATAAGATCCCTTGCATTTGTTATTTTTTTGTCAACCAGCAGCAACTGCATTAACATAGTGATTACTGAATATCCACTCACCACACTCCCAAAATGAATTTATTCTGGGTCTAGAAAAAGGAAATGGTAGAGGACAGATAATATGCCAAGGAAAATAAATTTTTATGTTTTGTTTTAACTTATAACTTGCAAGTACAAATGGAAATCATTGTTATATTGAAATAAAGCTTCTGTAATGTCTTGCACATATTACACTTTGTGGGTGTATGCATGTGTGTATAATGAATGAACAAATATAAACCACTTACCTTACAGTTCTCAAACTCAACAGCCATTTTCTCACTGTCAGTTACAAAGTATGGTGAAATATAACCTCGGTCAAATTGCATTCCCTCAACAACACGTAAACTGTTTTCAGCACTTTTACCCTCTTCAAGAGTCACTACCCCTTTCCTACCAACCTTGCTCATGGCTTCAGCAATCATATTTCCCACTTCATAGTTGTTTCCAGCACTTACAGCTGCGACATCTGCTAGTTCACTGTCCTCCACCTGTAAACAACAAAAAGGTTGAAAACAATGGTAAGGCAACAGTCCTTAGACAGACAACGTTATGAACTTGTATCTAGGTTATATCAATCATTAGCAATTCCTTTGTTTGAGGTGAAATATGAACAATGGATATACAAGAGACGGGGTGAAAAACTTTTCTAGTTTAGTGACAAGAGAAATGGAGACGAAGAAATGAAAATGGTGGGTAAGCTGATTTAACCATTTACTCTTAGCTGGAGAAATATAACAAACAACAACTACTACAACATCCAAGCCATAGTCCCAAAATATTTTGAGGTCGACTAATATGAATCGATACATGATGTCAGAGACAAAAGAACAAGAAAGATAGAAAGATAAAAAGATAAGGTATGATAAAAAAAGATATAAAACATACTACCTCCGTCCCAATGGACTTTGCACTTTTTGAATTAGGTGAGAAATACGAATAGTAAATATTGTGTGCTTGATATTTGTGCAGAGGAGAGAGAAATGAGGATAACCACAAATTAATTATTGTAATGAGAAAGTGGCAAAGTTTTTTGAGACAATCAAAAAAGGGAAAGTTGGCAAAGTCCAATGGGACGGAGGGAGTATGATAAAGATAAAGATAAATACGTAGTACGTAGTATAAGATATAGATAAAAATGATAAAATAAAAAGGACAAAAGGAATATATATAAAATAAAAAATGATAAAAAAAACATAAGAAAATAAAGAAGATAAAAGGATAAAAAATGATAGGACATCGATCCGCCGCCACATCAATACCCGCCCTCCACTATGCGCTCTCTAAAGTGAGAGAAAATGATGGCCTCTCTATCAAAGAATTCCTTCTCCATATCTCTCCTACAAACAACACACAATAACGACACTTTCTTCTTCATATTTTCCACACCAAATTGTCTTCTCTGCGTCTTCTCTAAACCAAATAAAGGCCTACTAATTGTGCAGTAATAGAGCATAAGAGTTCATAATAAGAATGAAAATATCATCAGATACCTCTTTTGACATGTTTTTAAGCTCAGAGACTAAAGCTTTTGTTGTTTTTTCAATTCCTCTGGTTATCAAGACAGGGTTTGAACCTGCTGCAACAACCTGTAGGGAGAACAACATGTCATAAATAAGGAGTTCATGACTAAAGAATATGCCAGCTAGTTCAAAGCAACCAGTGAGTTTTCTATTTTTCTCAAATACCTTAACACCTTCAGCAATAAGGCCCTGTGCAAGAACGACTGATGTTGTTGTCCCATCACCAGCCAAATCATTGGTTTTGGCTGCAGCTTGCCTAACAAGCTTAGCGCCAATGTTCTCCACTGGATCTTCCAGCTCAACCTATAAAAATAATCATGAATAGAGTTAAATGCTTATAGCAGTAGCCCTTCACGAACAATTTTTTAATAAAAAATAATAATTTGAGAAAACTATGCATCAGTGTGTTATAATACTTCATTACAAGTCTAACACATACAAGGAACGATGTATTTAATGAAAAATATGGGCATTTGTAATGAGTGGAGACGTGCCTAAAATATATTATTATATCATTTAATGAGTAATGTGTTCGGTGGAAAAATAAAACCAACTTAGATACATGAAAAAATGGCCAAGATATTACTCCTACAGTTTAAATGGATACAAATATGACTAATTTTTGGATGGACACAAAAGTGACTCGTCGGTTACATCTTTTATGTGCTTGGCTTTAATTTTCATTCTTTCCCAACCGTCGTACATAGCAGCGCTAGCTTCACTTTTCTTCCTCCAACTGTATTTAGCAAACAATTAAAGGAGAAGCCCCAAATTAGAGCATCAGACCTCTTCTTCGCCGCTGTTGCCATGCCACAATTCCTCTTCTTCTCATTTCTTCTTCGCCGCTTCAACCACCACCGTCCTCCTTCTCCGGCCGCCGACTACTGAAATCTGGCTAGCATCTCCGCCGTCTGCTTCTGAAATCGATATCTTCTCCGGGTAGTCGGTCGGAGGAGCGCTCACCTAATCGATGGATTGTAGAGGAGATTTTCGGATCTAGATCTGGTGGCTAGGGTTAGGTTGGAGCGGTGGTAGGGCTGGTGGGGCCGTGGCGGGGCTAGCAAGGTTACGGTGGGGTCTAGCATTGGCTGGTCATTGGCCGCCGCCGCCGGCCAGGGGCTGGCGATGTTGTTGTCACAGCGGCATGGCCACATCAGGTTGCAGATCCGAGCTTGTCCTAGGGGTGGGGAGAGGATTGGACTGGTTGTGGCTGATGGGGGCTGGGCAGGGACATATCCGGTCATTAGGAAACGCCAGCGGTCGGAGGTGTCACTAGACGGGACAGATCGGACAACTCAGTGACTGATGTTCGGTGGTTGTCACTGAGTTAGTGATTGTAGTTGCTGAAAGTCACTGATTTCGTTACCTGAATTGGATGTAAGTCACTCTTTAGTGACCTGAAGTCACTGCATTCATGACCGCTGAAAGTGCCTGCAGCGGAGGTGCAGCCGCTGGCGGTGCCGGCGACTGATGTTCGGTGGCTGTCACTGAGTTAGTGACTGGATTTGCTGAAAGTCACTGATTTAGTTACCTGAATTGGATGGAAGTCACTGGCTAGTGACATGAAGTCGCTGAACGTGCCGGCAGGGGAAGTGCTGCCTGCGGCGGTGGCGATGGTGATGGTGATGGGTCTGCGGCTAAGGCAGTGTTGGATTGTTGTAGTAGCTACTGAACATGGACTGATCATAAAATAAATACTCCGTATATAAAAGGAATAAATACATGGAATAAATAACTCTTGGTCACATATGTGGGAAATTTCAAAACATAGCATATTTCTGTCTTTTGTATTTAGTATAGTAATATTTATAAAAAAAAAAGGCCTAGATACATTCCATAAATCTTAAATAGAGACATTAGTAATTAATCATAATATACCTCTTTTGCCACAGTAACTCCATCGTTAACAATTTTTGGAGCGCCATACTTGCTCTCAAGAACAACATTCCTTCCCTTAGGACCAAGGGTAACCCCAACTAGATCGGAGAGCTTATTAACACCCGTCTGGAAAAAGAAAATAATCAAAACTGGACACTCAATACTTAAGAAAACAAGGGCTTTTAACAGCAATAAAAAAAACTAACTTGGAGCTTCTTAATAGCTGATCCATCTTTGTTGAAATGCAATTCTTTGGCGGCAGCAGTTATTGTGCATGAGCGTGGTTTCTGTAAAACAACATTTCTCCTCCCAAAAGGTTGTGAAGCAAGAGAAGACAACTTGTTCGAAGAGGCTGCAAGCTTGCTGTCCATCACACGGCTTCTGGGAGCAGCCAATGGCCCAGCAGATGTCATGCCGGTAAATGTAGACGACATTTGAACTGCGGAAAGATAGAGGAAGACGGGAAATGAAAGATAGAGGAAGACGGGATACAGAGGGCGTAGAAGAAAGATATAGGAAGAGAGATGAAGAGTCTCGAATGATCGTATAGGGTTAAATGTCTGGACGTATTTAATATGAACAATGGGCTGGACGAATTAAATGAAATACGTGGGCTGGGTCGAATTGGGCTACGTTGGTTTCTAAATTCGGCTCAATTTGGTTTAAGAGCTAAGTAATGTCTCATACTACTACACTCATCCTATGTTGCACGGATACGGATATGCCGATACGCGGATACGCGAATACGGATACGGCGATATGGCAATTTCAAAAATTATAGGATACGGGTATAAGGGTATATTTATAAATAATAAAAATATAGGGTATAATTTGCAAATATATATAATTCAGTGGTTCAGAAATAAAATAAGAATAATAGCACAAAAAATTAACTATTATAATAAAATTTCAAAGATTAGTCTAAAAAAACTAAAAAACAAAAGTACTAATATTTTGATTTAAATTCAAATAACATTTTTTTGTTCTCTATTTGCATTTACATCTATGGGGGTGTTTGGAACTGATTCTACTTCTGCTTATTTTTTAAAGCAGAAAGCAGAATCAGAATCAGTTTTCAAAAGCTGGTACCCCCCAGCTTCTAAAAAAACTGATTCTGAGAGTAAATTAGAGCACCAGAAGTGCTTCTGGAACTTCACCCAAACACTCCGACTTCTGCTTCTGCTCCCTGAAGCAACAGAATCAGTTTTGAGAATCAGATCCAAACACCCCCTGTGTCTTGTTTCAATTAAAGCTCATCAAGCAATGAAATGACAAATTATAGTATTCCACTATTTTCCATACTCCCGAAACCATCTTTATCGATGTTCCACATGTTGTGGTCACTTGGGCGGCTACTAAATTTTCGTCATGTCGTGTATCAAATGAGGGTTATAGGGTCAAATACGTGTATCGGTTCACGGATACGGGTATCAGAAGTATCGGTATTTTTACAATTAAGACCGATACTTTTATAAAATTACGGATACAGACCCAATAAGTACAGGATGCGTATCGGTGAGTATCGGATACGGATACGTATCGGATACGCGGATACGGCATCGAGGTGAAGTATCAGTGCAACATAGCTCTCATCTATTCCCGAAGTATTTTATTAAGAATCTGTTTGCAACAGCTTCTGCTTTTTAAAAAAGTGCTTTTTTTAATGAAATGGGGAGAAGTGATTAAATAAAAGTTGATAGTGTTTGAGAAAAAGGTGATTTTGAAAAGTAAAAGTGGGTAGTGTTTGGTAAAATAAGTGCTTTTGTGTAATAGAAAAAGTAAAAACACTTTTGACGCGGAAGCCGAGAAAAATAAAAGTTGTAGTGTTTGGGAAAATAAGTGCTTTTTTAAAGCCAAAAGCTGAGAAGTCCTTTTTTAAAAGCAGTTGCAAACAGACCCTAAAAATTGTTTCTGCCATTTAACACGATTTTCCTTGCATTTTGAATCAAGAGGGATTTTGATTATGGCGACTTGAAGGAAATATTTTTTTTAACTTAAAAGAGTATTATTTGAAATATAAAAAAAAAAGAGGGTATTGTGTGATGCATGAGAAAGGAATCTTTAATTTAAATGGCCTTTCCTTTTAATCCTTGTAAGAGACTTGGTTTAATACTAGTAGTGCTTTTGAGAACGATCATGCACGACTTTGCTTTATTTTTGAAGAGCCTACTTTCTAGCAGTGCCTATATGATAGTTTATTACTCCCTCTGTCCTAGTGGACTTTTCCAACTTTGTCACTTTCTATTTAAAGAAGTTAATTTGGGGTTCTGCCCATTTCTATGTCTTTTGCACAAACCTCAACTACATAAATTTTACTTCTCTTATTTTCGACCTAATCTAATACGTAGTAATAGATTGAAATTAAACATAATATCAAATGCAGGTGATTACTTTTGTTTTTCTTTCTTTTAGAAAGTTTTGCTTTATTATTACAGTAATATATATCAAATTTAAAATAATATACTTATACACACACACATATACATATACTATGTGTGTATATACTCCTTATGAGCTAGTTCTCGCAACAACATTGAAAGATGGGGGTGCATGAGCCCATGGCAAACCCTTGACTCTGACACCAATTATTACATTTACGATCCGCAAAGACACATTTTCCCACCTTCCCGCACTTGGGATACTTGGCATCTCCTACGGACGGCGTTACTCGTCTTGTAGCTGCTGCGCTTTTTATTTCACCAATATCTGTTGATTTATATAATACGAAGTATAATTATATGGCAAATCCAAAAACAATAATTCACACGGGTACTAATTTGGATAATTTAAGCCAGATATACATTATACACAGACCAAATACACCATTAACAAGCTACCCCAAAATATATGATTAAATCTTAAATCCACTAATGATGTACATATAGTATAAATTATACGCATTAACCCTTTGTAATTTAAAAAATATATCAAACATTTTTTTTGCTGTAATTAAAAATGGACATAACTCTTAATTGTCAAACAAAGAAGTGATTTTCAAATTACTATGTTTGTTGCTTGTGGATCTTTTGTGCATGATTAATTATAACATATGAGTGCGTTTATCGCATTTTTTAAATTATAAAGAGCTAACCTTTCAATGAAAATTACAAGGAGCTAATAAGTAGAGTTTGTATATCACGAGAGATTTGACGTGAACCTCTAAATGTATGTTAAACAAATAGTTAAATCTTAATTGGAATGAAGTATCATCTCTCAAACTTTATAGAAGAATAGCCACACCGTGTTCTATTCAGTTTTATAATATTTTTATTAATTAAATCATATAGACAAACACTTCAATATTTCTATGATATTAGTTCTTGAAATGTATTTCAAACACCTGATTGATATAACACACTATGTCCCTATTTATATGATCTTTTACTCCTCCTTTTATCATATTTATCCTTTGAGATGGAACCCCTAAATGTTAACAATATATAAGAGCATTCGCGGTTGTTATTTGATTGTTTGTTAGAATCCGTGATTAAATGAAACACGTTTAGATTTTTTTTAGCCTTATATATTACACCCCGACATTGTCCATCCGGATTTGAACTCAGTTTGCATGTTGAAATATTTATTTTTTACCGGATTGATATACTAAAAATTTTATTTGGTCCCGTAATTTTTTTGTTATTCCCATTTTTAGTCCTATAATTTTACCCATTTGGAGAATTTCCGTGAGAAACACACTTTTCGGATGAAAACTTGACGCCATCAACATCTTTTTTGATATATTTTTAGCACGAAAGTGTATTTTCCTAAGGTCCTTAAAATAAACATATTTATTAGCTATAAGATCAAATTCGCAAATGTGTAAAACTACAAGACTACTATCAGATACAATCAAAAGTTACAAGACTAAAATAGTATTTCTCTGAAAATTTTACACTCCTTATTGGAAAGCACACACTAATCATGTACTACGTAATATTTAATATTTTTGGAATTTCTTTTAAGAGAAAATATTTTTGGAAATTAATTAATAATTACTACCTAAAAACAAAGCATAATCTGGTTTCAAAAGATTACCTGTACATATAAGAAGCATAAGCATGATGGCAAAAAACCTAATGGAACCTGTCATTTCTTTCAAATTTTTCTTTATCTAACTCTTTAGAGATATCATCATTATAAATAAAGATGAGTAATGCCTATGTACTGGCACATAGCTGAATGTCTATATAAAAGGAGGAATACGTTTTGAATGTATGTATCCTTCCTGTAAGGATAAAAGGCCTTTAGCATGACACTAAAGCATGTAACAAACACGGTATCTAGATTAGATGTAAAGACGTAAATGATGATTGAGGAGACATCAACTAAACAATATGCCCTAGTTGGCTAAGGTTCACCACTTGAATTGTATTGATTATGTTGTCACACTCTTCTTGTTTTAAAATAAAATTATTTTGACATATCACTTGATGTTTCAAACCTATACATGCAATCAATTAATTAATCAGTTTTAAATATGACTAATATACGATGTTTCTCTTAAATATTATTGAACTACAACTCACATACAAAAAGCTACTAAAGTAGCTTAGTATGAATATAGTGTACCACAGTCACTATAATGTAAAATTGAACATTAGTGTCGTCGCTAAAGTTACACTTATATCCACTCAAGACAATTATTTTCCATGCACAAATCTTGCTCAAACGTCAAAAAAATCAACTAGTATATATAGGGCAGTTCATGGACGAATCTCGCTTAAGTCCACTGAGGACCCAGGCCTGCCCTCAAAAAAATTAACTAGTATATATAGGGGAGTTCATATTAGGGCAGTTCAAATGATAGATTTTAAATACCATCGGGTCAATCCGATGGTATGTAAAGTGCATGTAGAGTTTAATAGGGAGAACTATGAAAGCAACGTGGATTAAGGAAAAAGTGGAGTATCGACATCCAAAATTGATTATAACTAGATGTATGAGTTATTGTCTGCAAAAACTTGCAAGCGTACAAGTGCCAATGTAGTAATAAATTCTGGTAAAAATGTCGAGTTGAACACAAGGAAACATTGTTTATAAGATTCAATGTTGAACAGAGTTTTAGAAAAATGTTTAAGAAAAAAGAAGGGATTTTGTGCTATCAAACGATAATAAAAGCAACCAATGGTTCAGGATTACCCCTAAACGACTCCTAGCAATGAATATATGTTCTTTCATCGATTCTTATGAGTGAAATGTCACTAAAGCATATTAACTCTTGTTACGGCAGCGAGATTGTGATTAACTCTACGAGTAAATCCCGTCACGGTTCACCCCATTGAAGATTAGGTATCATAAAAATCACCATATTCAATTGGGTATATTTCTACCCACATTATGAATATGTCATAACCTTTAAGTGCACGGTTTATAATCCAACGTTACTTGCTCAAATAAACGAAATGATATCATCATACATTGTACACCGTAGTAATGCACATTAAAATATAAAGGAAAGATCATAATAAGTTGGTTGAGAACAAGCATAGAACAATTGAAGTGCGTAAAGGTTCATCCCTAACCCTGGATATGAAAAATTAGTTCCAACAACTCACAATGAAATTACAAGTACTCAAATGC